GGATGTAGAGGAGACCGAAAACCCACCTGTAAGATAATTGGACCATCCCTCACAAGAAGGCCACACAGAAGGGATGAAAAATCTAGGGTGCGGTATGGCACAGGTGAACCACATAACTATCCTCTAGTTCTTTAATATTTCCTCTCCTTACTATTATGACTTTTATGTGTTTTACCTCATTCATACTGTTAAGATTTGCGTATGTTCATTTTGTACATTGTACATTTAAGATTTTTCGGTACCTGAAAGTCAAGATAGATAACCCTTCAGAAACAGTTAACAGAATAATGGTTCTCTGAGGGTACAGGAAGAAAGAGGGGCGGGGAGCTGACAGCAATGATGACTGTATAGCCCCACTCGATGGGATAGGACAACAGAATTGTATGTGAATGGATATATTAGGTTGTGTAAGATATGGAGGTGGGGGGATTTTTATAGAAATAAATGGGGAGTATGGTGGAAGAGGGAGGACACAAAGGGGAGCTGATAACAAGGAGTTTAAGAAAGAAAAGGTTTTGAAACTGACTGGTAGCAATTGTATGTGATTGAACTATGGAATGATATAATATCTTATAAGAGCTCCCAATAAAATGGGAAAAAAAGCTATCATTCAAAAGTTGTGGGTTAAAAAAAAAGTTTTGTTAGGGTTCTAGTTTATACATACATAGAGTTATTCCACACAAAACATGTTTAAACAGGTCCCCATCATCAGGGGGTAGCTGCAGACAAGTGTTCTCAGTAATACACCTGTATGAGTCTCATTAGGGTACCTTCAAAATAAAAGATCCCAAACAGTGGATTCTTAGGGGATCTGCTGGGTCCGTTAAATTTAAGGCAGAAAGGTCAGCTCAGATGGTTATGGTGATTGCTTTTTGTGATTCCCACGTAATAACCATTTTCTTAAAGGACCCAGGGCATGCACAGGGGTTTATAAAGAAGAAGCTTTTAAGAAAATGGAAAACTGAATTGGAGAGAAAAAAGATAAGTTGGGCTGAGGAACTGTTTTCGCCCATTACAACAATGTGCCTCTCATTCTCTAAAGAGGGCAGCAAAGGCTGGCCTAAGCAAACTGCATTGGGAAATCTTAGCCCATCCACCCTCCTGCCCTGATCTTGCCCCTTAAGACTTTTTTGTTCCTGAAAGTTGAAGAACATTGTTAAAGAACACACGATTTGAATCCCTTGAGAATGCCAAAACTACCATTGTGGCATGGTGAAAATCAAGAGCGCAGACTTCTTCAGGAAAGAACTAGAGATGGAAGGACAGCGCCTTCTAAAGTATATTGACCTAGGAAGAGGATATAATGAGAAACAACAGGTTCATATTTTTATCTTTTTTCTAATAAAGTTTCCATATTTTGCAATACTTTTTTTTACTAATCTTTGTGTATATATACAATTTGTTTAGTTTCCTGAATCTGAGAATATTGCCTTTGATCAGTTCTGGAAAATTCTTTTTCTAAGTATTACATCCTCCCTATTGTCTATATTACTAGTATTTTCTTCTGGACTTTTCCCACCCCCTCACCTCCAATTCAAAATTAGTTACTATTAACTGTGGAAGCATTTTAGTGATTTTTTTCCTATCTCTAGCCTTTTTCATTGTAATTCCTTTAAGATATTTCTGGTAGAAATGTTTTCCTGTAATGTTAAATCTAGTCCTATTACTACTTTTGTGAAACCCAACATTGCTTGTAGGATTAAATTCAGCCTCGGTAACCCACTTCAATGGGTCTTTGTGTAATGACTCATCCCGTTCTCCCATCTGCTCACTCCTTTGCTTCTCTTATACTGTATGCTCCAGTCATGCAGAAAAACTCTGTTCATGGAACCTGCTGTGCTTTATTTCTACTAGGTTTTTGCAAAAGTAGTTTCTTTTGCCTAGGAACTTCCTCCTCCTGCCACAGCATTGGCCTAAAAATAAGGAAACCCAAGACATTCTGGCCTGCTTAGTGTCATTTCTGATTCAGTGTTGCAATCTTAGCATTGAGAAATAGCTCTCCTGCCCTGCTGTACATAAAATCTACGAAATCATGTAACTTAAACCTCTGACTCGTACATAAGAATGACAATTTTGGTCAGACAGTGGTTCCTGACATAAGCGGGAAGACCAGTGATGAGAGCACGGATAGGAAGTGCCTGGGACACTAAGTTGGCTTCGTTCTGATACTCTGATGAGAAAATGTTTTGGAGGCATTCCCATAAAAAGAAAATCTGACTCTGCCGATTGAGGTTCATATTTTCCATAGCATGGTGGTGACTGGTAGGCATTTGGCCCAATGCTGTGTTTTTTAGTGACATGTTTGGGAGTGCACATGGGAGCTGCCCTTTGAGGTGATACCAAGTGGATATAAGGAACTTCGAAAACTTCATGGAACATTTCAACTTTTCATTTCACTTTGCAACAAACATTTTAAAGTCCCCTCATATTATAGACACTGATTTTTCTCTGTGCCAGTGACAGATTTTTGTGGGTGACAAATTAAGTAAAAATGACATCCATTGGTTCGTTTGTTCTAGACCTCAAATGTTATTGTTGCTTTCAGCAGCCATCAAGTTGGCTCTGACTCCTGGAGCCCCCAGAATAAGACTGTGCAGGCTCCTGTGCCATCTGGACAATTACTAGTATGTTCCAGTCTGTTGTTCAAGCCAAGGTATGCTCAGTTCCTTCGTCATCCAGTACTGTATCAAACTGTTGTAATCTAGAGGGGTTTTAACAGCACATTTTCAGTAGTAGATGACCATCCTTCCTTAGTCTCAAACCTAAGAATCCAATCCATTAAAAATTGGTCTGGGGTCACACTATGTTAATGCTCCTGAGAAACCCCCAGGAGGCTTAGAGGGGCATCTCATTAATTCAGCAGAGAGCTGAGTGAGATTCTGAACCACTGCCTCAAACGATACTCAAGAGAAGTTATAGAAAGTGACTTATGAAGTCGCTGTATTCACCCCTCAATCTCGGGAAGTCTTGGTCCCTCAGAAATAACATCTGGTGTTTGTCCAGTCTAACTTTCACTATACACAGATGGACCTTTCCCCAAAGCACAAGAAGAATATCCCATCACAGGTCTAATGTATAAAGGAAATGAGAATAATAAACTCAAAATTTCCAAAACCAACTGAATTATCCGTATCATCATGGATTGAGCTGTGTCTTCCCCAAAGACAAGGTGAAGTCCTAAACCCAATAGTGGCTAGGAATGTGACCTTCTTTGGAAATAGGCTCTTTGAAGATGTTAAAGGTTAACAAGAAGTCATACTAGAATAGGGTGGGTTCTATCCAGTACGATGGTGTCCTTATAAAAGAGAAGAGACATAAAGAGAGACCCAGAGGAAAAATGATTGTGCAAAGATGCTGGCAGACTGATGCACCTACAAGCCAAGGATCCCTGTCATCAGGTGAAACTTAAGAAGCAAGGAACAGAGCCTCAGAGCTCTCAGAAAGAATCAGCATGCTGATGCTTTGAGCTCAGATTTCTAGCTTCCACAACGGGGAGACAATACATTTTAGTTCTGACACGCTCCCCAAATTGTGGTATTTTGTTACAGCAGCCCTAGAAAGTCAATATACATGTCTCTTCTCAATCTGGAAAACTTTTGTTTTCCTCACAAGAACACCATTGTTCAGATGTTTAGTTAGTGTGATACGTTTATTGTGCCAACTGGGCCTCCATAGGTACATGTAGGCAAAGTTTAATCAGGTCAAAGCTTGACTGGAGGGTGACCAAGATAAATACTTTCTGCAGGCTGACATCCTGTCTCCCTTCCTCCCTGGTGATCACACCAGTGTACTGCTGCTAGAGCTAGTTCTTTACTTCAAACTGTGTATTACACTACCTGTGGGCAGAGCCAATCCATGAATCACATCCCTAGAGAGAGAGGCTCCTTTGAGACCTGCTGCACCATGTTGTGGACACATCACTTGAGCCCAAGGCTGGTGGATCATGTCCCGCGTGTACGCCTGTACCTGTACGCCGCTTGAGTTCGAGATCCCATGGGACTACTCCACTAAGCTCCCAGGTTTCAACATGGCTTAGAAGGGACATTATGATTACTTTTCCCCACTAAAAGTTGACTGCTATTACCCATATTCACTCAAAACTTACTTCCAGTTCCTTAATTTTTTCTTCTGCAATTTTCTGTTTCTCTAACAGCTGGTTGTGAATAACCTCCTTGGACTGAAGAATAAACCTACAAAGCATACAAAAAGTTAAAAATTAAGCTACAAATTCAAGATACAAATCAAATTCAGTAGTATCAAATGTTAAACTAAGACAGCAAAATTTATTACATCTCCAGTTCAGGAGATACAAGATGTATTGTTATGTTAATATGGCAAGCTAAGAAAACACCAGGGCTATTTGTTATACAGGCTTTCTTTTTTTTTTAAGCAGTATTATTGGCATATAATTCACATATCATACAATAGTTCAATCATATTAAGAAGACTTGTACAATTATCACCACAACCAATTTCATTCTTGTATCATCGTTATTAGCTCCCTATTCCCCCCACCATTCCCTTGCCATACCCCCAAGGAATCATTAATCCAGTTATTATCTCTATGTATTTACCTATCCTGGATTTCTTATACAGAAAAGCATGTCTAAAAGAAAACAAAAGTCTAACAACAATTATGAAGTGGAACAGAGAAAAAACTAAGTCAAAAAGCAGAAAGTATTAAAAACTACAACAAATTTAAAAGGGGTCTGGAGGGAAATTAAATGATAAGTTGTTCAATTTTAACCTAAATGTATCTGAAATAATCCACTTTCCAAGACACTCTGTATAACAGCAAGGCTATTATTCACATCCGCAGTCTATGGTCAGAGGGGATCCACCGGAAGCTTAATATAATGTGTATGTATTTCCCTTTACCGTTTTTTTTGAACTGAAACAACTTTAAAATGGGTCAAAAGGGAGATCAAATGAATGCTAATATATTGCATTTCAACCTGACAACATCGCCATAATCCACTTTTCAGTGCTCTATGTCTTTTAACAAGGCTATCCACATCCAGAGACTATGGTCAGAGGGGATTCGCCAGAGGGTTAAGCCATTGTGTGGACCCTGTACATTCCTGAATGAGAAGGGATAAAGACTGCCTTCTTGTCTGAGTAGGGAAGCCAGCTTCAAATAGGTTAACAGATAAAAGAGGAAAAAAAGAAAGGATAAAAATCTATCTAAGCTAAAAGAAAAGTTAAAGTTAACATTCAAGCACAATAAAAACTGCATAATTTTCATTTTTTCAGTTGTATCACTCAACTTTATCTAGATTTTTTTAAACAATATTTGCAAATTGTAGAATGGAGTGTCCCCCATCTTTTTTCTTCTTTTCTGTAACAGCAGTAACTCATGACCTTTTAAAGTCACAATCAAGTACTGTGTTAGGATCAATGCATTAGTGTTTATATGAGCTCCTTACACAAAAAGCACTGTATTAAGCCCTAGTATCTTTTATTATTATTTCCAGCATGTATAATACCTCTGAAAAGCTCAAAATGCACAAATGGAAAATTTCAACTGTTTCCATTTTACAGCCAGGCTGATGGCATTATGATAGAAATCTGGGAAATTAAAAATTAACACTGAATCAGTTTTGTGACTCTGTTCATTATTTTTGCTGTGAGGAAAGGAAGACTGATCTGCTTTATAGCCTCAGGTAGGTGTACTAAAATAGTGCCATCCTGCTGGAATTTAAGGGGGAAACTCCAATTACTCAAACCTCTTTCAGGATAGCAAACTAGGTTATAAGAGATTTCAATTAAATATTACAATTAATTAAACAGATAGAATTCAGTAACAAAGAATTAAAAATTATCTCTTCGCATAAAGCCAGGCAAAAAAGGGAACACATGGAGGTAGCAATAGTCCTATTTCCTTTGTCTATCCCACACAAAAAACAGTATTGTGCCTAGGTAGATTCTTACCGAGGTCTGTTCCCACAGACACAACAATAAAAACAGACCACATAGAGCGACTAGCTATTTCTCAGATGTCTGGGGGAGGGGGGAGAGAAAGACCTGCTTTCTTCCCTCACCTTCCCTTCATGATGAATATACTTTCCCCCACAAATTAAGGCAATCTAATGAACTTTCCGCTTACTCCACAAATTACTTAGCTTGTGATCTGATGTGAACTGTAGTGATTTGATCTTTTAAAAAATCGAACTCATACATTTACAACAAAGATATTTACATTCATACAAAACAAGACTTAATTCTAGGTCTTTTCTGATGAGCTTCACATCTAAAATGTTCTTCTTTGGTCCAACAGGCAAGTATTATTTATGATAAGGCTCTGGCTTCTAGAATGTATCAAGCCTCAGTCACATCATTTTAAAAAAGCATAATAAAACAAGATCCAGAAGTCAATGGATTATGTGATTATATCCAGGATTTTACTAAGTAAGTCTTTCAACTGTGGAAATAATTTTCAGAGCAAATTATACATTTTTTAAAATGTCATTGATTGCTGGCCAATAAGTAGTATTTTCAAATAAAAGGTCATCAGGCATCATCTTTATTAGTGTCTGGGAAATTTTCATGCCTAAGATTAGAGATCAACTCATTACTTATGTGTCCTTTAAAAATAAAGGATCTGAACAGATACTAAATCCCTTGAGCAGAAAATAAAATTACTAGAAAGCAAGAACACTCAACAACAAAAACATGGTTTTCTGTAGTCACCGCGCCCCCCCCCCCAGTAACTATGTTGGAGTATGCCAACTTCAAAGGCCAGAGAGATTCCACAAAGAGAGCCAACCTACTAGTAAGTCTAAAAGAACATCTTAGTCATGACAGTTTGCAACAAAGATGAGCGTTTGATAAACTCACATGCCTAATGCAAAGAGTAGTTGCATAGTCAAAATTCAAACAGAAAATCTGCGGAAAACTTGGTTTCGTCTTCAAATTTTAAAAAGCCAAACAATCTTTGTAGGGAAATTGGAAAGGACCCAAGAAACATCTGACTACTTTTTTTTTAGGACGATGAATTTTTATTTTGAAGATAGTGGTTCAATGGTAGATTTCTCACCTTCCACAGGGGAGACCCAGAGCAAATGCAGCCAATACACCTCTTGTACAGCCACCAACCATCTGTCAGTGTATGCTGGCATGTTGCTATGATACTGAACAGGCCTCAGGGGATTTTAAGACTAAGTCAGTCTAAGAAGAATGACCTGGTGATCTACTTCCCAAAACTCAGCCAATGAAACGGTCCCATCCTGTTGCATATGAGTCGACAGCAGCGAACAACAAAAACATTTTGAAGATAAAGGATACAACATAATGTAACTATGAGTCTTTACAATAAACAAACATGTACATCAGTTCTCAAAGCACACAGTCTTACTCAGATCCTGCCTGTTTGTGGAAAGCAAAATAGTAGGTAAAGGATTCCAGAGGTCAGGGTGTGCCACAAAGGAAAAATAAATCATGAAGAGGGAAAACATTCTCTTATGGCAAATGATTCACAGATAATGTTGTATAATATTCTGGATCACGTAATCCAGCGCTGTGCTTTGAAAGGGCTTCTATTTTGACCTGGAGCTCAATGCCAGGCCTGCACTGTCAACTCTCATGGACCTGCTAACTTAATGTGTCACTTCTTTACTGATTAGTAATTATGCCATCTGAAAGTTGAGCTTATTAGGGGGCACGTCAGAGGCTGTCTTCTGAACCATCTTGCGTGACTTAGACTTACAACTCAGCATGAATCAAAAGCATTCACAACCCTGAAACAGAATCCAGGAGCAGTGGCAATGTTGCCTCTTCAACAGCATTACTTAGTTTGGGAGGGAAACTTTTGCAACATGTCTGAAAGCATATCCTAGTGCCACTTAGGTTTCAAGACATCCACCAACTAAGTGGCACAGAAAAGGCTAAATAAAAATGGCATCTTGCCGTTTTTTTGCCTCTGGTGATGAAAGCTACTTCTACATGTACGTAAATACTTGTCAAGAGTTTTTCGTTTCACAATATTTTAGGAGCAAAAAAAAAAAACAAAACAGAAATAACCTAAATCTCTCAGGAAGTGATTAAGAAATTATGATCCATGCATCTTACACAATGCTGACTTGGAGAATTCTGCTATGGTGTGAGGCAGATTAAAACAGCTACAGCTCTGAAAGCAAAGGGAGGAAATGTTTTCTTCTTTCTTTAAAGAGACACTCAACATAAAGGGACCGTGGAAAGTGATAAATTAAGGAATTGGCTTTCCCCTTTTCAATTTCTGTGGAATCCTGGACCTCTAGCATCCAGATGGCTGCAGAAACAGAATAAAGAACAAGAAAGCAAGCCTAGGGGTCATCCAAAGTAAGGATTCTATTGGAAGATCCCTTAAAGCCAGGGCCAAAGATTTCCACTTTAAGTCTACCATGGAAACAGAAATAAACTTGCTCCTCAGTTGTTGCTTTGGAATACTGTTTAGTCTGTGTCACATCACTGCCACCCCGAGTGACAGCAGCACTGCCCTACAGGATTTTCTTGGCTGTAATCTTTATAGAAGCAGATTATCAGGCCTTTTCTTTCGCAGTGCCTCTGGATGGGCTTGTATCGCCAAACTTTTAACCAAAAGGTTGGTTTAACCAAAAGATTAAATCTGGTGAGCATTTAACCACTTACATCATCAGTGACCAATAAACTTGTCTATGTGTGATGTCACCCTACCTATGTGGCCTAGAAAACCTCAAGCACACAATGTGCAGAATTTACAGTATTCTTGATAAGCCGGGTGTCAATGTTCAAGGAAACTTAAACCACAAAAAAATTCTACTGCTACTGAGTCAATAGCGACTCATAGCAACCATATAGGATAGAAAAGAGCTACCCTTTTGGTTTTCCAAGATTTTAAACCTTTATGGAAGAAGACGGTCTCAGAGACACTGGTGGGTTGGAACCAGACCTTTCAGTTAGCAGCTCAATGGGTGACCCACTCTGCCACCAGGGCTCCTTAAGGAAGACAGGTCAATAAAAATTAGCCAATCCAACGAGAGAAAGAAAGAAGAGCTGTAAGTTAAAAGAAAAAAATTAAGATACAACTAAGAGACAGTATCCAAGTGTAATTAGACACCCAGGAAAAGAGAAAGAGAATGGAGCAGAATAAATATTTGAAAAAATGGACAAACATTTTCTAAGTGGGAAAATACCAAATGACAATTCCAAAAACCTCAAAGAACTACAAACAAAA